CTTTTTCCACATGTTCTAACCTTCTGCCTCTTGACCTGTGATGACCTATTTGTGATTTGTTTTTACTTTTTCTCTTGTTCTGAGATTTCACAACAGTATGTCCTGGAGTGGGAACGCAAGTATCTTTTTTTTTTTTTTTTGAGACGGAGTCTCGCTCTCGTTGCCCAGGTTGTAGTGCAATGGCATGATCTCGGCTCACTGCAACCTGCACCTCCCAGGTTCAAGCAATTCTCCTGTCTCAGCCTCCTGAGTAACTGGGATTACAGGCACCCGCCACCACGCCTGGCTAATTTTTGTATTTGCAGTAGAGACGGGGTTTCACTACGTTGGCCAGACTGGTCCCAAACTCTTGGCCTCAAGTGATCTGTCCACCTCGGCCACCCAAAGTGCTGGGATTACAGGCGTGAGCCACAGCACCTGGCCTCCAAAGTCTCACTATCCAAATTCTGGGGTCAACAGCCGCAGACACGCTTTCAAATAAATCCTTCCCCTCAAAAGCTCTCACTAGTGTTTATCTGAAACTCAGCCTCTCTTACTATCCAAGTTTGCTGCCCAGGCTTTTATTTTATTTTATTTTATTTTATTTTATTTCATTTTATTTTATTTTTGAGACAGAGTCTCATTCTATTGCCCAGGCTGGAGTACAGTGGCACGATCTGGGCTCACTGCAACCTCTGCCTCCTGGGTTCAAGCAATTCTCCTGCCTCAGCCTCCTAAGTATGGGATTACAGGCACCCACCATCATGCTTGGCTAATTTTTGTATTTTTAGTAGAGATGGGGTTTCATCATGATGGTCAGGCTGGTCTCGAACTCCTGACCTCAGTGATCCTACCTCCCAAATTGCTGGGATTACAGGCATGAGCTACCACACCCAGCCTCTTTAACCCAGAAACTTTGGGTTTTAGGAAATTATTTTGTGAATTTCATCCTGTTTTCCCTATTGTTTTCTTGCGGAAACTTTTTAAAAAGTATTTTATTTTTTAGAGACGGGGTCTTGCTCTGTCATCCAGGCTGGATCGCAGTGGCATGATCACAGCTCACTGCAGCCTCAAACTCCTGGGTTCAAGTGATCCTCCCACCTCAGCCTCCCAAGTAGCTGGGACTACAGGTGCACACCACCACACCTGGCTAATTTTTAAATTTTGTTGTAGAGATGGGGTCTTGCTATGTTGCCCAGGCTGGTCTTGAACTCCTGGCCTCAAGCGATCCTCTCACCTCAGCTTTGAAACTGTTACTATTCAGCTGCCGACTTCCTGATCTGATCCCTTCCGTTTCTTTTTTCTCTCATGTGCCACCTCCTTGCTTTTCTGTTCTACTTTCTGAGGGAGTTCCTCAACTTGATCTTTCACCCACTAACTGATTTTCTTATTTCTGCTTTTTTAAATAGATATACGAGAGTTCTCTTTTTGGATCTTTGAATGCTCCTTTTGGTGGCTTTTTTTTAGAGCTTCCTGTTCTTGCCTCACGTTTGCGATATTTTCTCTTACCTCCGTGTGGACATTAATGACAGCCTGCTTTCTAAGGCTCCTTCCTGTACGCTCTCTTGTTTCCCAGTGTGTATTCCGGTCTCAATCTCGTGTAGCAGAGGTTTTCTTCAGATGCCCTTGGTTATCTGCTCATATTTAAGGGATGGGGATTTTTGAAGCTTGACGCCTTGAACACTGGGAGGGGGTTATTAATTGGTTAGCAAGGGATCCAGCTGGGCCTGCTGACTGGGGACCTCCTGATGTCATTAATTTTAGTCTTTTCTCTTGGGCCACTCAGATTCCTCAAAGACACATCCATCCTCCTGTCCAGAGGGAAAAGCCCCAGCTGGTCATGTTCTGGGAGCCAAAGGGGCCCTGTTCGCTTCCTCCTCCTGTGCCCTGTACAGCACCGCGCCCCCACCCCGTACTCAACTGTGCCCCTACCCCGTACTCAACTGTACCTGTTTCCCATTCTTCTCTGAAATATCTTTAAAGTGTCTAAACAGTTACAGAAACCACCACCTTGGTTAACAGCAGGAAGTAATAAGTTGGAGAGTCAATTATCTCCAGGCACATCTGTGGGCCTACAGCCCTGCTGGCAGCCACAGACCCACTAAGTAGGTATGAAACTAACAGCTACTCTCTAAAGAGAAAGACAATTCAAGAATTGAAACTCAAGATGTAAGGTTTTTTTTAAACGACAAACCGCATGTGTTTCAGTATCATCAATAACCCATCTTTTCCCACCGATGGCTCCTTCAGGCCCAGACCCACTCTAGAAGAGAATCACCCGCCAGCCTCAATGACTGTGCGTAGTCAAGGAACTGCAAGCCCAAGGTCAGCCAACCAACAGGCCTCTCTTCAACTCTCGATCCCTTCCCACTGGGGTTCCTGGGGATTCCCTCCTTGTATAGGCTGTCTCTTCTCTACAAGGTCACATCTCCAGGATGGCCACTAATACTGCCAACCCTGCAGGTCTAAAGCCTACGTGTGTTTGGCTCTTCCTCCCCCACCCAGCCCCAGCGCTCCTCATCGCAGGCTAGAGGTCCCGGCTGCCCTTGCTGCTACAGGTCACCACATCTCACAAAGCGCCACCCCCATCTTTCAGCTCCATGCCCGCCCCCACTCTCTCACTGTCCCACACCCACGCCCCACAAACTTACTCAACTCAGCTCCACTGCCCAGATGCAAAACCCACCTCTCATATTCTCACCAGGATCACTTTTCTGAAACACATCTAATCGCATCACACCCAAACCACCACCAAAGGGATAAAAGCTTAAATTCCCTGGCACAGCATTCAGGCCCCTGCACAATCAGAAATCCATCTTTACAGTCTTTTTTTCACTCTTTTGCCCAGGCTGGAGTGCAGTGGTCCAATGTCAGCTCACTGCAACTTCTGCCTCTGGGTTCAAGCGATGCTCTTGACTCAGCCTCCCAAGCAGCTGGGACTTCAGGTGTGCACCACCACACCCAGCTAAATTTTGTATTTTTAGTAGAGAGGGGGTTTCACCATGTTGGCCAGGCTGGTCTCAGACTCCTGACCTCAGGTGATTCACCCGCCTCAGCCTCCCAAAGTGCTCGCCAAAGTGCCTCCAGTCTTGTACCTCCAGGCACGAGCCACCTCGCCCGGCCTTCCAGTCTTAGCTTCCAACCCAATCCTCAAACCCCACTTCACCAAGAACACAGCGACCCACCATCTCCCCCAAACATCGCTTTCACTTCCATATCTCCGCATGCCTTTTGCCTCCAAAGGCCCAATTCATAGGTCCTCTCCACTGTGGAAAACATCAGAAAATGTCTCCACATTCTGTTAACGCCTGCACCACAGCCCCAACCCCACACTGTCGTAGCCAGGCTGGCCGTGAGCTCCCAGGGCAAGGCCCACACTATATATATATATATATATATATATATATATATTTTTTTTTTTTTTTTTTTTTTTTTGAGACGGAGTCTAGCTCTGTCGCCCAGGCTGGAGTGCAGTGGCGCAATCTCGGCTCACTGCAAGCTCCGCCTCCCGGGTTCACGCCATTCTCCTGCCTCAGCCTCCCGAGTAGCTGGGACTACAGGCGCCCACAACCGCGCCCGGCTAATTTTTTGTATTTTTAGTAGAGACGGGGTTTCACCGTGGTCTCGATCTCCTGACCTTGTGATCCGCCCGCCTCGGCCTCCCAAAGTGCTGGGATTACAGGCGTGAGCCACCGCGCCCGGCAGGCCCACACTATTATCGCCATCTACCCCAGCTTGGCATCTTGCACTCAATTGGAGGTTTGATAAAAAAGCTGGAGTCTGCTGAGTGGCAGCAGACAGTTACCGCTGGCCCCAAAGCATCAGCCCAAAGTCCCATAAACTCCTTTGCAGGGAAATAAAACTTCTATGCCATTCCAGGCAGGTGCTCCTTCAGATCTCAAGCGTTGCACTTTCGTGTAGCAATGTCCTCGTTACCCCTGTTTTCTCTCCGTCCTCACTCAGACACCAGTCCTGACTCCCAACCCCAGATGCTCACGGTGAGGGGCTAACCTGTGTCCCCGCGTGGGGGTAGGAGGGGAACCCGCCCAGCTGTCCCCAGCCACCCACAGCCAGGAGCAGCACCGTAGGACCTGGTGTCCTGGAAGATGTACTGCGTCCAGCACTGCGCCTGCAACCCACATTTCTATTCACCCCCAGGTTTCCGAGTCCCCACAGCCCCGATTATGAACTAAATAATTTAATAATGCTGGAAACACTACGGCTTGTTGTGCTGCCTGCCAGACGGAGCCTCTACCCGAGCCAAGGTTTTGCCGGCGGTGTCTCGGTGGCCGGGAGCCCGCAGAGGAGGTCTAAGTCCCACTGTTCCCGGACTAAATGCACGGTTTCCTCTCGCAGAGAGGCAGGGCTGCGGCTTCTGGAGTAAGAGGTCATTTAAGGGATACCCTGAGCGACCTGCCGGTGCTGCTGGCGTCTGCAGGCTCCAGGGCTGCGGTCGGCCGGGCCGGGGAGCCCCGTTCAGGCGACAGCAGGCACAGGAGGGGGTCTGGGGGTCCGGGGAGCCCCGTTCAGGTGACAGCAGGCACGGGGGGGGGACCCTCGGGGGCTGAGGATCCTGGAATTCCACGCCCGGGAAGCGGTCCTGTCCCTGCCGGGCGGCAGAGGCTGATGCCGGGCAGGGAGACTACTGGGGGCCGGCGGGGCCGCTGCAGCCTCTGCCCTCGCTGAATCAGAACCACAGATTTCTCATCCAGACCCCGAGGGGCCGCAGAACGCGCTGATCAGGGCCCCAGGGCTGGGGTCGCCCTGGCCGAGGGCGAGGAGCGGGGCTCAGAGAGGGCGCGCGCAGGACCAAGGTCACACAGCGCGCCAGCGCGGGGACTCGAACCCTGGCCCAAGACGCGCCCGCCAGGCCGGGCTAAGGAGAGCCGACCCGCGCCCCTCAGCGCGGCCCGGGACCACCGCCCGGGCCCCGGCAGCCCCGCACAGGCCGAGAGGGAGGGAGGCCGCGCCCCAAGCCCGCCGCCCGCCGCCCGCCGCGCCCCTCATCTCGCGCCCCTCACCTCGCGCCCGCAGCCGCCGCCGTCGCCCCGCGACTAGGGGACCCTCCAGAGGCCGCCCTCGCCGGCCCCGCCCCCCTCGCCCGAGCCCCGCCTACCGCTCGTCTTCTCGCGAGACGTCGCGGCCGCCGGAGGGGCCACGGAGGCCGAGGGGCGCCCGCCCTCAGCGCGCCTGCGCCCCGCCAGCCCGCCCCCGCCCTCGCGAGCCAGTGCCATGTGGCGCCGTATTTACCGCCAGAGATCGACCCCGCCCACCGGCCGCCACGAGCCACGCCCCCTTCCTCAGCAGCCAATCCGCGGCGTTGACTCCGCCCCGGCAGGGAGGGCGCGCGGCGGCTCGGGGGCGCGTAGCAGTCTCGCCGTCCAAGCCCGGAGCTTCACGCCGCAGCCAAACACGGTCCCGTTAACCAGCCTTTATGCAGTGCCTGTTGTCTACCCGACCCTTTCTCGAGCATCGGCTCATTGGCAAAGGATCGTGATGCTCACCAGCTGGGGCTTGAAACTCGCTGTGTGACCTTGGGCAAGTGACTTAACCTCTCTGAGGTTGTCGCCAATCCGTAAAATACAATAGGTTAGTGACCCTGCCTTGCGGGGAGTATGTGAGACAAATGAGATGACACGGGTAAAGAGCTTAGCAAGATGCCTAATGCATAGTGAGCATGCAGTAATTGTTCTTGGCATCAGTGTAGTTTTGTGTGTGTTTATTTGTTTAGAGACAGGATCTCGCTGTGTCGCCCAGGCTGGGGTGCAGTGGTGCAGTTACAGCTCACTGCAGCCTCAGCCTCCTGAGTTCAAGCCATCCTCCCACCTCAGCCTCCCGAGTAGCTGGAACTACAGACAGGTGCCACCACACCTGGCTAATTTTTAATTTTTAATAGAAACGAGGGGGGTCTCACTATGTTGCCCAGGGTGGTCTTGAACCCCTGGACTCAAGCAATCCTCCTGCCTCAGCCTCCCAAAGCTCTGGGATTACAGGCGTGAGCCACTGCACCAGGCCCAGTGATTTTTTTTTTTTAATATGGTAAAATATATATAACATAAAATTTACCATCTTAACCATTTTTAATCACACCCTTCAGTGGCATTAAGCACATTCACATCACCACCATCCGCCCCCAGAACTTTTTCAATCCATGATATTTTTAGGCGGCCCCTTCTGATGGACTCCCGAGGCAGCCTTCCAACCAAGGTCGTCTCTTCACTCTTCCACTCTTTCACTGCACTTTCACTTCACTCTTTCACTGCATCCACTTTGTGATGCAGCCAATCACAAAGGAGTCCCCACTCACCGGAAGTGAGGGAGATGGGCAAGGCCCCTGCCCTCCTGGGGCGTATATTCTAGTGGGGGGAAAAAGCAACAAACCACCACCACAAAATATATGTGTATATTATATACACATTCACAGTGGATAATATGTTTATATGTATGTGTAATGCATACATGTTACCTACTATGTGTATGTATGTAGTATATATGTTTATATATTATACACATACATATATAACTATGCATGTATAATATGTATGTTGTATACATACATATATGTAATTGCATGTACGTAAATAAGATGACAGCCACTGGCAATGTCTCCCTATGATGCCTGTCTCAGCTTAGAAATTTCTCACTATCGGTCGTGCGTGGTGGCTCATGCCTATAATCCCAGCACTTTGGGAGGCCAAAGCAGGTGGATCACTTGAGGTCAGGAGTTCAAGACCAGCCTGGCCAACATGGTGAAACCCCGTCTCTAGTAAAAATACAAAATTAGCTGGGCGTGGTGGCATATGCCTATAATCCCAGCTACTTGGGAGGCTTAGACAGGAGACTCGCATGAACCTGGGAGGCAGAGGTTTCAGTGAGCCGAGATCGCGCCATTGCACTGCAGCCTAGGCAAAAAGAGCGAAACTCTGTCTCAAAAAAGAAAAAAATTTCTCACTATCAGTTTTTCTTCTCTGTCTTACACATTCAACCTCTGTCTCCTCTCCATTGGATCCTTCCCTTTAGTGTCTGTTTGTTTGTTTTGAGACAGGATCTCACTCTGTCGCCCAGGCTGAAGTGCAGTGGCGTGATCATGGCTCACTGCAGCCTCGATCTCCTGGACTTCAGTGATTCTCCCACCTCAGCTGGGGCTACAGGCATACACCATCCACCAGGCTAATTTTTGTATTTTTTGTAGAGATGGCATCTTGCCATGTTGCCCAGGCTGGTCTGCAACTCCTGGGCTCAAGCAATCTTCCTGCCTCGGCTTCCCAAAATGCTGGAATTACAGGCATGACCCAGCCTCTTACCTTTAGATTTAAACAGTATCAGGCCTCTCCCACTTTCAAAACAAAAGCCAGGCCGGGCGCGGTGGCTCATGCCTGTAATCCCAGCACTTCCAGGAGGCCAAGGCGGGTGGGTATCACCCGAGGTCAGGAGTTCAAGACCAGCCTGGCCAACATGGTGAAACCTGTCTCTACTAAAAATTAAAATACAGGCCGGGCGCGGTGGCTCAAGCCTGTAATCCCAGCACTTTGGGAGGCCGAGATGGGCGGATCACGAGGTCAGGAGATCGAGACCATCCTGGCTAACATGGTGAAACCCCGTCTCTACTAAGAAATACAAAAAAAATAGCCGGGCGAGGTGGCGGGCGCCTGTAGTCCCAGCTACTCGGGAGGCTGAGGCCGGAGAATGGCGTGAACCCAGGAGGCGGAGCTTGCAGTGAGCTGAGATCTGGCCACTGCACTCCAGCCTGGGCTACAGAGCGAGAGACTCCGTCTCAAAAAAAAAAAAAAAAAAAATTAAAATACAAAAATTAGCCAGGTGTGGTGGCGGGCGCCTGCAATCCCAGCTACTCGGGAGGCCGAGGTGGGAGAATCACTTAAACCTGAGAGGTCAGCTGAGCTTGGTGGCTCACACCTGTAATCCCAGTGCTTTAGGAGGCTGAGGCGGGCAGATCACGAGGTCAGGAGTTCGAGATCAACCTGGCCAACACATGATGAAACCCCGTCTTTACTAAAAATACAAAAAATTAGCTGTGTGTGGTGTCGGGCACCTGTAATCCCAGCTACTCGGGAGGCTGAGGCAGGAGAATCGCTTGAACTTAGGAGTTGAAGGTTGCTTTAGCCTGGGCAGCAAAGTAAGACTCCATCTCAAAACAGAGAAACAAACAAAAACCTGAGAGGTGGAGGCTGGAGGTGGAGATCATGCCACTGCACCCCAGCCTGGGTGACAGAGTGAGACTCTGTCTCAAAAATAATAAATAAATAAATAAATAAATAAATAAATAAAATGGTTACTTTTGTGTTATGTCAATTTCACCTGTTACATCAGCAACATTTTGAATACACTAAATACCCTTGAATTGTTCATTTTAAAATGGTTACTGTTGTGTTACTTCAGCTTCACCTCTTACATCAGCAACATTGTGAATGTGTCCTAAATGCTCCTGAATTGTTCACTTTAAAATGGTTACTTTTACCTTATGTCAACTTCGCCTGTTACATCAGCAACATGCAGATACCTTTTGCTTACCCACCCTGCAGTGGCTGTACCTTATCTCCTCGTTTACAGATAAGGAAGCAGGGGACCAGAGAAGGTAACCAACTAGCCAGAGACACAGAGCCATGTAAGTGACAGAGCCAGGACCTGAATCCAAATTGTAGGCCCCAAAGATGGAGCCACGCTACAGTCTTGTGACTTCCTTGGCCAGGGCCTCAGCTCGGCCCTGGAGGCACCTCTCTGTGATGGTTTTCATCTCTTCCTCTTCTGGGCTCCAGGCTCCTTCAAGCTGGCTGCCCATCCCCCCCCCCCCAGCAGCTCCGTTGGCTGCCACCCACCTTCAGGGACCCTGGGCCCCTCTGCAATGGCTGTGGTCTCCCCCGGGCTGACCACAGCCTGGCCCAGCCTCTGGATTTTACTTTGAGGTATTTCAGTGTCTCTACCAGCTACAATTATTTCTGGTTTCATAACCAGGGTTGCAGCAGAGGAAAAATAGAAGTAACTGTGGCTTAGGCAAGTGATCAGCCAGGAAACATCAGCTGCTACTAATAGTAGCAGCTATGAAGTTCTGGGAGATTCTTTTTTTTTTTTTTTTTTTTTTTTTTTTGTCTTTTTAAGAGACAACGTCTTGCTCTGTCATCTAAGCTGGAGTGTGCAGTGGTGCCATCATGGCTTACTGCAGCCTCAGCCTCCTGGGCTTAAGCAGTCCTCCTGCCTCAGCCTCCTGAGTAGCTGCGACTACAGGTGCGCACCATCATGCCTTGCTAATTTCTTTTTTTTTTTTTTTTTTTTTTTTGTAGAGATGGGGGTCTCACTATGCTGGCCAGGCTGCTACTGGGAGATCCTGATGACCTCTAGCCCTGGGATCCATATAAGCATCATCAACAGGATATGAAAAGCAAACAAAACAAGGTCTGTGAATTGAAAATTCAATTAACCCTGTAGATGATATGAAAATCCAAGAGGGGCCAGGCACAGTGGCTCACACCTGTAATCCCAACACTTTGGGAGGCCGAGGCAGGCGGATCACCTGAGGTCAGGAGTTCAGGACCAGCCTGACCAACATGATGAAACCCTGTCTCTACTGAAAATACAAAAATTATCCAGGTGTGGTGGCAGGCATCTGTAATCCCAGCTACTTGGGAGGCTGAGGCAGGAGAATCACTTGAACCCAGGAAGTGAAGCTTGCAGTGAGCCAAGATCGTGCCACTGCACTCCAGCCTGGGCAACAGAGTGAGATCTGTCTCAAAAAAATAAAAGGAAAGCAAATCCAAGAGGACCAGGCATGGTGGCTCACACCTGTGATTCCAGCACTTTGGAAGGCCAAGGCAGGAGGATCATTTGCACTCAGGAGTTCTAGACCAGCCTGGGTAATAAGATGAGACCCTGTCTGTAAAGATAAGATAAGATAAGATAAGATAAGATAAGATAAGATAAGATAAGATAAGATAAGATAGAAACGACCAAGAGAATGGACTGAGGAGCCCTCCTGATTCACCATGAGCTCACTCCTCCCCACCCCCATCCCTGTCTTTCTTGGCTGCATTCTTTCATGCAGTGTCAGGTAAGAGGGAGGTGGTGGGAACCCAGGACTGGATGCTGAGACCGTT